TCTGCTTTATGTTTATACAGGGTTCACCCCCCCCCCTGTGTCATGTAACAGCATGAAACACTTCTTGACACACCCAAAAATTCAAAGTTCCATGTCACATATCTTGCACTTCAGTTGCCTTTCAATTTTATCATCTTCCAAACAACGTATCATTGTCATTTAATGTTGATATGTAACTACAATATTCGAGTTCACCAAGAACTCATAGAAAACTGAATGCGCTCTGTATCTCAGCTACGATGAATGTGTTGTTTACGACTTTAGAAAGGGCAATATTCTATCTCAAATGCAATGGAAGGGCTTGGCGCTAAAAAAGGGACCCTGTAATATTCCTTGAACTGCGATGCTTTCACTTTTCTTTCCTTTAATCAAAAGACTCGAATATCTGAAGAGTGCCACAAAGATGTGAAACTTTCCAGCAGAGAACCAAATGATTTTATTGCTTCCAACTGGTTTATGGCACCTGAGAATGTTTTAAAAATATTTTAAGTACTAGAAGCAGGGAACAATTTTTACAGTATGTATCAAACTTACAAGAAAAAAATAAAAATTGAGTATAACTACTTTGTCTAAATATTTTCATATCTTATGTTATACTATGAGGCACTATGTTCTTTGCTGAGAATGAAAGATAATTCCATTCATTTATCATAAAAATTGTATTAGATACAGCACTTTTAAATGCAATGAAGGATAGGACGAATGCATATAGGATACTGATGGCAAGGACAGAAGGAAAGAAACCCCTAGGAAGATCAAGAATGAATGTTTTGGTTCCATGAAATGCAGGAACGTTCTTGAGAAGCTGCACAATTAGCAGCTTCTGAAGAAGGGCTCAGCTCCATTAAGTTATAGTCAAAATTATGCTTTCAGTTGCTGTGCCAACAGTGTTCTTGAATTGTCTGCAAATAAACAAAAGCTTTTATCCAATCTTCATGCATTATTCCACTCAAAAGCTTTTCCCTTTCTCTCAAAGCAACTACAGAAAAGAGGATGTGACTTTTGTTTCAATTGGTATGCAGGGAGTGACAGTGAAGTGTAGTCTCTTTCCTGCAAAATGCTGTCCACAGTATACATACACTCTGATTTGTAGAATGTTGCAGTTTGCATGAGTTCCATACAGGCATAGAATTGGACTGGCAAGCAGAAGCTGTGGGCTCAGTTGTGTGCTCTCCAGTTGCTATAGAGAAGTGCTCCTGCATTAGAGGGTTCAGTTATCTGTCTATGGGAATGGCCAAGTCTCTCAGGGACTCTGGTGAGGGGTATGTTGAGAGGAAGGCTGAGAGACACCTCCTGGTGGGAATGAGCAATCTGNGAGGGGGGGGGGGGGGGGGGGGGGGGGGGGGGTCCCAGTCTTGGGGGCTAGGGCCTTAAATGGTGCTCCATTATGGGTTTAGCTGGAACCAGGTGGGACTTAGCTGTCCCTGTCACATGACAGAAGGCAGCTGGTGGGTCCCCAACCAAATTTAGCAAGCTCATGTGCTGGGTTTTCTGCTTTTCTGTTGTGTACCGGGATTCTGAGAGAAAGATTGTACGAGTTCTCTCCATAGAGTGAATAGCCTATCAGGAATACCTGGACAGAATTGTGAAGAAATGTGCCAGCAAAGGGGGCTCTTTTCTAAGGAACTGAGGCCTTGTCTGGAACTTGGTTATAGGTACAGTTAGGGCCAGCAGTCCTTATCAGCAAATGACAGTGGGTAGCAGCAGACATCCTGCCATCAGTAATCAAAAGGGAAAAGATCTTCCTATGACAGTGGAGGGCTAAGTTGTTGGCCCCTGCTGCCAAGGGAAAGCAGCCATTAACACTCAAGGGCTTTCATGAGGAGTCCAGGAGGGGAAAACTGAATGAGGTCTCTTGATGGGGATCAACAACCTGTCCATCAAGAGCAGAACTGGGTGGTCAAGAAGAGGTCTTTTCTGGGGGAAACTGACAGCCTGACTACAGCTTCCTTGTGGGTCCAGTGGTAAGGGTTCTGATGTCCCTGTCAGTGAATAACAGAGGGCATATAGGAAATCCTGCTGCCAGCAGCCCAAGAGAAGATAGCATTATGTCAATGATCAACTTGGTTGGGCATGGATCTATGCCATCTTGCTGTGCATGAGTGGAGCTGACAGAAATTAAGACGGCCTTAACCTAGAGGGTTTTGGCTTTAAGAACGTGAGCAACAATGGGGATGCACAATAGTCCCAGTAGAGGTTTCAGTGCTGAAGAGGTAACTAGAAGTTGTCCTCGCTATCGCAGTACTCAGTATTTATGTGATGAAGAAGTAGGAGGGTTATTTCCTTGCACCATGTGGCATGGTGCACTATCAAGTAGGATATTGGGAGCATTCATTTCTTATAATTTTTGCTATTCATACATCATGGTGTTCAATTTTGAATTGTAAATCAATTCTTCCCCATCTTTAAATACCATATCCTGTCCTGTATTAATGACTCTATGTCTTGCACTGCTGTTCGCCTTATACAGGGAACAGCATCATATTGCCAATATTTCTTCAGTGTAAAATGGGTGTGAACCCAAGTCTCACCTGCATACAGAACTGGCTTCTCACTACCTTTCATATGATTTCCTAGAGTTTTCATGTATGACAATAATATCTTGACTTCCAATTAACAGTGTCTTTCTGGTCTTACATTTCCTAAAATTGAACACAATCCATTTTGCTACTTTCTGAAGTTTCTTTTCTTCTCTGAAATTCAGCTCAACATTTAAGAAGAGGAGAAGTCTGCATTAAGTGGGAATTTCCTTATTTAGTTCACAGCATTTAAAACTTTTCTATTGGAAACATGTTTTTCAAAATCATCCAATGGAATTTTCTTCTTATATATCAAAATTTTCAGGATGCAGAAACTTGTGTCCTGTTTCTTCTTGCATTTGCAAAGCCCCTATATATGACTCACAGTCTTGTTCACTTTTTCTGCCCTTGCAATTTCACTTTTCAGAGGAATGATAAGCCCTTTGTTCTCCTCTCTTCCTTCATTGCAGAACCGAAGCTTGTTATCAATGATCTTTTTCTCTCCCTAGTGAGCTACACTCTGCAATGTTTCCCTTTCCCCCAGGGTTTCCATTATGCAGATTATATGTATAGATATTTATTTTCACACTTCAGAAAATGATTAATTAGTTTCAATGTTAGAAAATACCACACAGATCTCCTTGTATGAACAGTACAGTCATGGCAAGGTACCTGATCATATAACCAAACCTTGTTATGGAGTGTGTTCACCAATTCTGAAATTAAAAGGCTCGCCTCATTGACAGGAAACCTGTTGACAGCCAGATTTAATCATCACTGGGCAGCTGACTAGTGTGTGGGATGAACTAATTACAAGGTGGTTCAAATATGACTGGGACTGATTTTTTTTAAAAACCATAATTGCCAAACACTTACTTGCACATGTCAGTCTTCAACGTACTCCTCTCCAGAGTTGACACATTTTTTCCAACCTTCTGGAAGCATCCTGATGCCCTTTTCAAAAAAGGCTTGTGGTTGGCGGCGTATCCACTCCCGAACAGTCTGGATGAAGGCGTCGTCCACAAACCGCATGCCTTGCAAGTCTGATTTGAGCCTTCCAAACAGGTAGAAATCACTTGGGGTCAAATCAGGACTGTATGGCGGATGTATCAGAAGGTTCCACTTCAATTTCTGGAGGGTTTCCATTGTTGTTTTGGCTGTATGAAGGCGTGCATTGTCTTGAAGGAAGGCTACCTGCTTTCCACCCGTCTTCCGCTTGAATCGGATCTTTTCTTTCACATCTGTTGCCAGGAGGTCTGAGTAATAAGCTGCATTGACTGTTCTGGCATCTGTCAGAAAGTCTACATGGATAACCCCCTGCCAGTCCCAGAAGAACGTTGCCATCACTTTTCCTGCTGAACGGCTCCTCCGTGCTCTCTTGGGTTTGGGAGAACTGGTATGCCGCCACTCGTGTGATGACTGCTGGGACTTGGGAATGAATTAGTGCATCCACGTTTCATCCATGGTCACTATAGACTTCAAAAATGCATCACTTTTGTCTCCAAACTGCTGTAGGAGACGACTGGCACCTTGCATGCTCACCATTTTGTTCATGTCCGTCAAAATGCGTGGTACCCACTGTGCATGCACCTTGCAATAGTGCAGGTGGTATTTCACGATGTCTTCTACACTACCAACACTGATGGACAGCATTGCTCCAAGTTCCTTGATAGTGATGAGCCTATTTTCATGAATAGCGCGTCTGCACGATCAATGTTTGGCTTGGTGATGGATGTTCGCAGCCGACAATCATGTGGTTCATTCTCCATGCGCTCCCTGCCCTCTCTGAAGCACTTACACCACTCAAACACATGGGTCCGTTAGAGACACTCTTCCCCATACTGTTGCTGGAGTCTGTGGCAAATTTCAGCGGACGGGACGTTTTCTCCGAGGAATTTGATCACAATGTGTTGTTCCATGCTCCACGGTACCTTCTGTTCGCTCATCACTCTAGCAACTCCCAGACAGGACTGAACAGGTTCTAATCCGAACAGGAGGGAGGGTGGAGGTTGTGGCTTCACTCTCTCAAGGTCGCACAGCTGCTGTACAGTGTGACTTGTTTACACACAAATCAGTCCCGGTCATATTTGAACCACCTTGTATTTCAATAGAGATACAACAGCATTTTGTATATTTCTGTGTTAGATGTAACCAGCTACTTGAATGAGTATATTTCTTTGCTGCTGCTCATACCACTGATCAGAACAGTTTGTATTTGAGCCACAGCCAATCATGTCTTGGTTGACTTACATGTGAAAGCAAGTCTTCACAGTGAAATGTTAGTCTTTCTTTCAACGAATAAAACATACTAAGTCAGGTTTGTGATGATGTAACAATCAGAGCAGTTATAAGTAGACCTGTAATTGAAGCACAAAACAGAAGCTGTTTATATATACAGTGTCAAAAAGTATATCCCCCACATCAACTGCAGATACAGATAAAGATACAGATATGAAAAAAAGTCAAAATTGACATATGTTGTTTCAGTTCAATCTCCATGAGACAGAAGCACCAATCAATCATGCAATAGAGCACTCTGCAGAAGGATAGAAAACTTTACCTGTAAAACGATGGTGAGATACTTTCCCATGCTCACCATGGTTATGAATTATGAAAAACAGAAAAGTTCAAATTGTCATATTTATGAGCATACCAAACATATCTTACCCAAATGCAAAATATGCCTGAATTAATGACATTACCAAGGTACTCAGTTTGGAGAAAGAGGTGCACAAGTCTCACATAGTGACAGATTAAAAATACATGGCACATGACTAATGTAAAATACTGTTCCTAGAACAGAAGTTAGCACAATATGAGGTGTGTATAAATTTGTTGGGTTGGCACTGAAAGGGTTGAATGAATTACTTCCACATTTATGAACTTGGTAAATTTAAAAATACCTAAAATTATTACAATAGTTTCTTTCATTTTGTCACAGTCCACACAAAAACAATCCTAAAAATTTGTATGACAGTCTAAAATACAAGTTGTAGTACCGAGTACTTCAGTGTTAATAATGCAGTGACAGTATTTGTAAGTTAATGCAGCAGCAATTACAAGGCTTAACAGGTTCAGAACCAAGATGCAGCAGTTAAATAACAAACAATGTTTCTAAATGTGATAAATTGTACAATATTCAGACTATAAAATATTATCCAAAATGATTACATATGGTATCACCAACCTTGTACATATTTCACACAGAATGTTACTAAAAATTATTAATATTCTACATAAAGCAGATTCTCTATCTTTTATTTCAATTCAAGACACACACAAACTATGACTACATAAAATTACTGATCTGATCGTGACAAACAGTCATACTGTCATGGAAGTGTTCTTTGCTCAGGAAGCTCAAACTATGAGTACAGGTCCTCTAATTACTGTGATATCTGTACTTGTGCTTATGCTAAACTTCCAAGTATGATCACACAAGACACTAATCAGTCTGTGGTGTTTCTGTTGCAGAATATGAGACAAAACTGGAAGTCACAGATGATTCAGGGACATCATCATGCCCTAAACAGGACATTGGTACAGCTCTAGCACTTCATGGTGTGCTAGAGCACATATCGGATGTGACAAGAACACAGGAGCTGTCCAATGTCCTGACATCTGTGACTTGCATTCCTCAGGTGTGGTGTTTCTTTCTGTGAGACATCATTGTTGAGCGGGACACAAAGGCTTTCTCACAGATGTCACAAGGGTAAGGTCGCTCACCAGTATGCAGTCGCTTATGGATTGTAAGTGGTGAAAACTGAGTAAAGCTCTGGCCACAGATATCACAACGATATGGACGTTCACCAGTATGACTACGCCTATGGCAGCGCAAGGCATCACGCCTAGCAAATGCCTTGCCACACCATTCACACACGAAACTCTTTTCTCCTGTATGCATAGTGGAGTGGATACGCAAGTCAACACGAGTCAGGAAGCCTTTGCCACATACCTCGCACATGAAGGGCTTCTCCCCAGTGTGAATACGCAAATGTGTAGCCAGATATGATTTGCTTACGAACATCTTGCTGCATACTGTGCAGGGGAACTGCTTGTTGTCTGTCCCTGAATGAATGCGCTGGTGTGACTTACAAAGACCCTTTGTGATAAATCGACGTCCACAGGTCTCACAAAGGTATGGTTTCACCCCCAGGTGGCGGTTCTGATGATCAAGGAGAGATTGTTTAGTCTTGAAGTTGCGCCCACATGTGGTGCATGGGTAGGGTTTCAGATCACTGTGAACACGCTGGTGAACAATGAGATATGACTTGCACTGGAAGCCTTTCCCACACGTGTTACAAGTAAATTCATAATGACCCGTATGCTTGGCCTCATGCTGGGCCAGTCCAATTTTAGATCTGAATGCCTTTATACATGTTGAACATTTGAAAGGTTTCTCGCCTGTGTGTTTCCGCATGTGCTCCGTCAACTTGTAGTTAGTTCGATATTGCTTCCCACACTCGGGGCACACTTTGGGTTCCCACTTCTTTCTCCGTGTCATTCCCTTCTTCTCCTCTTGCATGATTGGTGTACCAGACAGTCTCTGCTTACGGGAGTGCATCTCCTTACGGTGTGCTTTCAGAGCTTCCTCATTGGTAAACATTGCTCCACATACCTTACATTTGTTGCAGTGATCTTCATAGTGAGACTGGAACTCTTCCCTCTTGGCAAAAGCCTTGCCACAAATATGGCAAAAGAACCATGATGCCTGGTCAGTATATTCAGAGGCTTGTGGACATGACAGCATAAGGAGTCCATTTGCAGCTGGATTTGTGAAATTTGCTCTGGCTTCAATCCCGACACCATCTGCACCCTCTATCCTGCAATTCATTTACTAATTATATACCCACTAAATAATAACACACAATCAGTAAATGGAGCATGTTTTCTGTTCTTAACTCTTCCAATAACTGGTGAACACACAGGGTTCCAGAAATACCATGCTAATTTACTAATCCCTTAAATTCCACTCACTCACACAATGACAGTATATAGATTATATAGAGGACACAACTTGAATTTTTAGACGGTTGTCAACCAATCCAATAAAACATGGGAAATTTACCCAGTGATAAACAGGATGTCATAACTTTGACCATTGTAAACAGAAAGGAACATTCTAGAATAATTTGTTCACTAAATTTTTAATATATTTACATTGAGACTAAAATTTTCTTGTCTCCAGTCTGATTATTAATTCCAGCATGTTATTTTTTATATCAACTGTATGGAAAAATGACCCAGACTGAATATTCACAATTAAGAATTATATCTGAAGAATATAAAATAATTTGTGGCCTTGATTTAACCACCAGTCATTTTAATTTGTTTGGACCAATGAAGGTGTAACTAGGTGGACAGAAATTTTAAACTGAAGATGAATTCAAATGTGACATCCTGAACTGGCTACATAGCATAAAACATTTCATATTGCTGGCATCATTAGCACTGTTATGTATTCACCTAGGCATTATCACACAACAGACACCAATTAGGTACATGCATCAATATCTTAAATCATGGTGGTAGTTTCGTGATAGTGGCAGATGCATTCTTTAAAATAGAAAAAAAAAATAAATAAAATAAAATAAAAAAAACCATTGTACGTTCAAGTCAACCTTGAACCACCCTTACAAGTTGCTACACAAACCTCCTGTAGTCTGGTCGATAAATAAAAACGAATTCATGTCTGATATGGTCAATATATAAAAATGAAGTAATGTCTGATACAGACTATTTAGTTGCTAAGAGGAAACAAAAAATAAAAGTAATTTTTCCAGTTGTGGTAAAATATATACACGAATTTCTGGGAAGAATTAATTGCCTTCTTTCCTTTGATATGATGTGCACCCCATAGAACACGATGGGTCCAACAATTCTTCTACTGTTGCATCTATATTCACTGCCATGGCAATGTGATCTCATGAGCCTAGTTTTATTTCAAAATAGGGAAAGTAGGCTAAAAACATTGGGGCTTGCTTATGCATACACAATAATATAAAGGCCGTTCCATAGCAATGGCAGTAATATGTTCACCGCTGTTGCCTAGTAACTGACATATCCTCTTTCTTTTGGGTGTTACAGTTAGTGTTCTTTTCCAGTCTGCTGCTCTGCTCACATTCTTTTGCGTGTTAAACTTAGTGCTCTCTCTCTGGTCTGCCTCAGTGCATTAAGTATATGTTCAAAACAGACCATAATCAGTCTCATCTGAGAGGGAAGAGGAGCAGTTCTGCTGCTCTGCTCAGTCAGAGCACCTACACTGAATGACTGAACCCTTCTCTTGTCAAAGAGGGGACCCCATTTCTGGAACATGTGAATGTCTAGGAGAGAACAAAAATATTTTGGGTGTTACACTTAGCGTTCTCACGTCTGTCTGATCGGATTATTATGCAGACATTCAACAGAGACAATATTTACTCACTGTTTGAAAGGGAGGAGGAGCTCCGCTGCTGTGCTCGGTTAGAGCAACTACATTGAAAGGCGGATCCCTCCTCTTACTGCAGGAGAGAACCTGCTGCTTAGCAGAGATGGGGGGGGGGACACAGACACAAAATAATATAATAATATAATGCTAACAATTTACAGATTGGAGTATATAATTAAGCTGTGTTATGGATGTGGTCCATGTACCATCTGGTGGGAAAGATTGCTCTAGTCTACAACAGTGTGTTGTCAACATACTTTTCAAACTGGTTTATTCCATGGCTTGTAGAAGCTTCTGTTGCCCCAGAACCCAGAACAACCACTGTATTTTCATTTTCCTGCTGCCCATCATGTTCAGCTAGTGCTGACAAGCTCCCATGATGACTGTCTTCTGCACCTGTGTTGTCATCACTGTCACTCTCTGATTCACTCTCGGAATCTGTCTCTGTGTCTGTATCACTCTCCTCTCCTTCAGGCATATTCATGTTATTGACCTCTTCCACTTTGATCAAGACTTCAGGTTCACACTTGACATTATCATTTGACTTTATCTGCTCCTCTTCTGCAGGGGTATACTCGGTTACTGCACAATCTGCAGTGTCCTGTGAAAACAAATGTGCAATAACATCAATACATTTCAAAATCCACTGATTTCTCTGGAAGCTGAAACACATGGAAATTCAGACAGAGATGGACATGACTTTCCCCATATGATATCACTTCATGCATTTTGTACAAATGTATTCATGAGATGCCTGATATGAATCTCAGATGGGACACTGACTACCCAAATTGAGGGTTTCATGGTTTTCTTCAGTCCACAAAAGCAAATGCCAGGATACTTCCTTGAAATAGGCCACAACTGCTTCACTTGACATCCTTTGCAATTCATCATTCATTAATCATCCTGTCATTTGATGCCACATAGTCTTAGCTAGCAAAGAACAGTGTTTGTCAAATTCACCATATAATAACAAAGGTCATAAAAGAGACTCATGAAGTCCTGCACATCTCCTTCATAATGTTGCACTTAATCTTCCAGTATAATTATCTATATTCCTCTATAGCTATCTATCCATACTGTGCACAGGAAATGTTGACAGTGATAACCATGTAACAACTTTGCTAGCACCAAGTGCTTTCAGTTGCTGGTTGACACAGGCCACAAGGGCTTAAGAGGAATACAGCAGTAGATGGAAGGACAGAAGCCTTGGGTGTTATCATCCCCACCATCCATGGGACTACTTTCCATGACCTCTGTATAACAGAATCACAGGAAAAATTACAGCTCTGTATATTCTAATTTTTATGTTTTTGGACAGAAGACAAGAAGATAAAAGATTCTGGACTGAATGGTAGCAAGCATTACCCAAGTTCAATCTCCTCTTAATTTCCTCCTGAATAAGGTTTTGATTTGTTTTTGTTGTTCCCACATATCCAAACTGTGCCACATTTTCAAAACATCTGTTTCCTATCTTTATGTCATGATTTTGCCCTGCATTTTGGTGATAAGAAAGCAACATATACTTAGTTTCCTCTGTGTTTACTTCTAGACCAACCTCCTTACTTGTGTCAATTAAAATTTGTGAGTTTTTCTTTACGGTATCTATAGAATCACCCAGTAGATTCACATCATGAGCATAGACCAACAGCTGATGTCTCCCATTTAATTTCAGTCCCACCTGGTTTTCCTGGACCTTCCTAATGGCATATTCTAAAACAAAGTTGAAAAGGAGTGGCGATAAAGCATCTTGTTTTAGACCATTCTGGATAGGAAATTTTCAGACAAATGGTTACCTACACAGACTTTACTATATGTTGTGTTTACACACATTTTAATCAGCCTCACTAGTTTCATGAGTATCCCAAAGTCTATCAGAATATTGTACAATTCTTCCTTCTTAACTAAATCATAGGCTTTCCTGAAGTCTATGAATAGCTCATGTACTGTCTCATTGTATTGCCATTTTTTCTCCAATATCTGATGAATGCAAAAGATCTGACCTGTAGTTGATCTGTTATGTCAAAACCCAGACTGGTGATCCCCAATAATTTCATCTATGTATGGACTTAACCTTAAGAGAAGAATATTGGATAAAATTCGGCTGCGCCATAGCTCAAGCAGTTAGTCGCTGGCTTCCCACAGCAGCGGCCCAGGCTCGACCCCAGGTCTGCTCAAGTGGGATTTGTGGTGGACAAAGTGGCACTGGGGTGGGTTTTCTCTGAGTAATTTGGTTTCCCCTGCCCATCTTCATTCCACCAAATTATCCATCATCATAATCACCTGAGGCACGCTACAATAGGCCAATCAGTGGCCGCTGTGCTGAGTGAACCCAGTTGGACTTCACCCCCCACTAAGCGAACTTTTTGGATAAAATTTTGTATGAAGTTGATAGCAGTAATATACCCCGATAATTACTACAGTCAGTTTTATTACCCTTCTTGTGAACTGGTAAAATAATAGACTCCTTCCACTGATCAGGCAATTTTTCCTTATGCCAAATAGAAGTAATTTGCTTGTGGATCTTTGAACATAATACTCTGCCTCCTGCTTGAATAAGTTCTGCCAGAATCTGATTACTACCTGGCAATTTATGAGACATTATACAGATTTTTTTTTTATAAATTATACATCAAGAGCTGGGATAGTGCAGTCGGTACAGTAACTGGCTATGGGCTGGACGACCGAAGTGTCAGAGTTTGAGTCCTGGTAGGTCAAGATTTCTCTCTTCTCTACTATGTCCAGACTGGCTCTTGGGCCCACCCAGCCTCTTTCCAATGGGTACCAGGGGCCCTTTCCCCCAGGGATAAAGCAGCAGGGGTATGAAGCTGACCACTGAACTCCAGCTAGTGGCGAGGTAAAGAAAATGTGGATCTATAGTACATCCATCCTTAACTCCACATCTTCATGGCGTGGTGCTTGAAGTTAAGCACAGGGATAACTTTACCTTTGCCTTTCCAGTCATATCTCATTAAGATTAGTACTTTATACTGACAAGAATGAGGCTTGCAAAAATATGAGTAAGAATTTTAAATTAGTACAACAAACAATACCTCTAACAGAATGAATTCACTTAGCTGAGCATGTCACGCAGGTCCACACATGCCTTGCTTACATCATTTGGAATTTAACTGATGGGTATGAGTCATGCAGTGTGCAGTATTGGCAAGTCTAAGCAGGTTTCTAGTGAAATGCTACATTTGGAGCATAGCTCTGTATGGGGCTGAAACATGGAAGTGGACTAGATTCTCTGACCTTAAAACTATAGAGCTCAGTGCTTTTTGGACATTTACATGTTCTACAAATTATTCTCTGGCACTTTCCACTGAGATTTTTACTTTATGTTGTAAGTTATACTATGGTATAACACTTCCACACAGCACTCACATTGCAATTCAGTTAAGAAAGTGGACTTACCTGTGCAGGTGGTGGCGGTGGTGGGGGTGGAGGTGGAAGCGGAGGCGGCAGCGGAGGCAATTGCGGTTCAATTGTTTTCAGCACATTTTCTAGATATGTCTCTGTCTTGACACTCTTTTCTCTGAACTCAAACAGTAAATCCAATTTATACACACACTCTTCACACACCATTTTTGGAAGTTTGTCTGTCAGAGCAACCTATAAGAAAAGTGAAATAAAGAATGGGTCAGCTACTGAAACAGATATTATAATTTTAGAAATCATTAGTTGCATTTACCAAATAAATAGGTATACCATTGCTAAATCTGTTTTATACTACACTTCTGAAAGGCAAACCCTGACTAGGAGAGAAGAAAACAAGTACGTATGTTTGAAAGGAAAAGAAAAAGGTACTACACACAATATACAAGCTGAACAGTACCTACCCTCATCTCAATATATCTTAACAACAAACAATGAAAAGTAAAAATAAAATTCATAAATATAAATTATAACAGCTACTCAGAGTGAGACTCTAAAGCATGGGGTTCCTCTGCTTTTTCTCAAACAGAGCAATAATCTGCCCTCAACCACTATTTCTCAATAAAAAGTTATATTCTTTACTGATGATATTGACATTAGTGTCATTATTTCATATCCAAAAATTTACTACCCATCTAATGTCAAGGTCAAGAATGGTGGAGCTGTACCTCCACTCCCCCATACATCCTCATGATATAGTGCTTAATTAACTATGGGCAGGAATAACTTTTACCTTTATAACTGTATGGATGTCTGTCTCTAGCTTTATAAATGACTTAAAGGCAAAAATACTTATGGTTTTCACACACATCCCTAAATATGTGACATTCTTGTGTTGGAAGTGGTCAGACTGGAAAATGCATTGGATCTTGATCATTATACTGCCATACTACAAAAAAATGGAACAAATGATGGAACTCCTGGAGACCATGCAACATAATGGTGAGAACATAGATAGGTTCTCTGACCTCCAAGATGGATGCCGACTAAGCAGAAATGAAAGCCATGCAAGCAAAAATGGATGCCATCCAAGCAAACTAGTTGCCAGCTAAGAACGGATGATAGCCAAGATGGATGCCTGGCTAGAAGAAATGAAATCCTGGTGAAAAGAGATGAAGGCCAACCAAGAAGTGATGGAGACCTATTCAGAAGAAATTAAGTCTGTAGTGGAGCATGGAGACCACAATTTAGGTGCAGGGCATTGCCAAAGGCTGAAGGATAGGACTCAGGACAATGCTGGGTCCTGGAAGATGTTGGCTGCTCCCTGCAGAAGGATGACCTGTCATGCCCTTCCTACATGGGACAAGGCAAGGACAAGGCCGTACTAGGAAACCAGAAAGGATGGATGCTCGGGAAGAGACGTCGGGCGAAACTGGAAGGCATTAATGGACTAAAGGATTGAGACTTTTTAGAGCAAAGCTACATCTTGAAAGTGAGAGGACATCCAGCAGGATTTACAGAAAGGCTCTCATGATGGAGATTGTGAAGCGAAGAATTGAGCCTTCAGTTGGGAATCGGAAAGTGAGTGACTGGACATTGTGGAGGGATTGGCCCCCTATAAAATGGAGGAAGACTATTAACAACAGCTTAAGAGCCACGGAGATAGGAGCACTGACCACTCTCAGAACTCTTGGCTGCACCACCCAGTGGAAGATGATGGTGACACACCTGGATCGACTGGCACCCTATCAGGGAGCCGCTCAGGGTGAGGGACCTCATGGAGGGAGTAACAGGAGCAGTTTGACAGTGTGTAAACTGAGCCATGGGGAGGAAGGTGAAACCACGACCCTTGGAAAAGAAATGGTGGTACATGTGTTGGCTAGTTGGGACGAACATCCTTAAGGAGGGAGCCATATGGCATATAGACCCATTGTTGGGCACAGACCTTGAAATGGATGGGTACAGCCTTTGTTATGCAATAAGCAAATAAAGGAACACCCATTTCTAAGCAATGGCTTGGTAAACATGTTCCTGCAGAAATAATATCCAGTCTATCGCTAGGCAATGACCCATGATGACAACAGAAGGATTGCTGGAGGTGGTGTTTTCTGTTGTGTCGGCCCTGAGGTTATATAATGGCACCAGCCGAGCTATAGTCAGTTGTCAGCAGTTCAGTTGAGTGAAGTGAAGTAGCTGGTTGGTGAGTGAGAGAATTCAGTTGTCAGTTGGAAGTCAGCCTGTGAAGAGAAGACTAGGAGATTGGTGTGAAATGGCCTTCAGCCTGGGACCCAGTTAGCTGAGTTTTCAGTTGACAAGAGTTCTGCACAGGCAGCTGTGACAAGAGGACCAGATCGCAAGAAGCTGAAGAATCTCCACTGTGTTAAATCCATCAATAGGAAACAGCTAGAAGAGGCTGTAATAGACTCAGGGCACTAGTCTGTGTGCCAGTGATCTTTAAAGTGTAGTTCCATGTGGTGCATACAAGTGGTCAATAAATTCATTCATCAATCCATACCCTGTCTATAGTCACACAAGAGAAAAAACATAACCTCCATCTGTTGAATTCTAACGTCATTAGATACAAAAAACCGAGTGTAAATTATTACATTACAATCAACTTATTCAAAACTTTTCCATCTGCCATTAAAAGTTTAATTCGTGATACAGAAGTATATAAGCCAGAACCGGAAGATATTTCTTACCTCACTTCTTCCACTATGGAGAATAATTTAAGTTTTCTAAATATTTCTGAAGTTAATTTTTTTTTACATAATTACTTCTTCTGTGTATAATCAAATTCACTTATAAAAGATGTCTTATAAGTAGTCATATTAACCACGTATTTATACTTATATCTGCATCAAATGTTGGTATATAACATGTTCTACATCCCTGGCTTTGTCCTGTGAAGGTTCTACGAATTGTAAATAAATTTTAGTTGTACTGAACATGTTATTTCCTTGATCTATAAAAATAAATTTTTATATAATCTTAGCAGTTGATGTAACAACACTAAACTTTCTTTACACTTAATTTCGATGACAGAATGAAGTGTCTTTCTCTATTATGTTTTATTAAAAACCAATCAATACTAAGACAGCACTTATATCTGGTAGCCAAATGACTGTTTCGTGTTATAACCTCAATTTGTGTTTGATGACTCAATGTTTGTGAAAAAGTTTATGCAATTTACCTGAACAGGTAAACATTCTGATATCTTCTTAAATATTTGTCTTGAATCACCTTCACGTTCAAATATATGAAGCCCCATTAGGACACTTGTTTTTGCAGCACAGAGACGGCACAAATAATCAAAATCGGGTGAACTTATAGTGCCACTGGCCATAGTTCGTTATATTCAACAGAAAAATTGCTACCGTATTATGACCGTAATATAACTGGCTGTACTTGAAATTTCTGATAACATTGGTTATTCACTCAAGCCATATAATTAAAAACTACATTCAATGCAGTGAAGACACTGAAATATTGCCTACATAAATGAAGGCATTTCACAGTCTGACACGGGCAGTGCGCCCCCAAACGTTACTTCTGTTCATTAAAAGAAAACAAAATTGCATCTTCCAAACTGAGTTTGGACAAAGTCGACCGAACAGACGCTACCCAAGGAACTATAGCTCTCCGCTAACATAGGTCTACTACAGGCACGAAGCACAGGTAGATTTTTGTGCCATGGTTAGTGCTTCGCTTGATGCATGAGTATTGGTTGAAAACTCATCCTCAGAGCGAAACGTTTCACGTGGTTATCACACCACATTGAAACCTGTTCCGTGATTGGGATCAATGTTGGTAATCCGTGCAAAATTTATCAGTGTGGTCGAATACGAGGCTGTTAAAGAAATGTTTGGGAGATTCCTTAAGACGCGGCTTGTTAAGAGACGCTGTGTAGTGCCGCTTTAAATTCGTGAGACGTCTCATTAGCATATACTGCATAGACTGGTATAGATAAAAAAAAAAAAAAAGCGAAGGAGAATCGAGTGACCTATTCTTTTAACTTGAGCTCGAAGTCCAGCATTCATATTGCCACTGTAATATAGGAATGTAAACAAAACGTTGATCACATTTCATCGAAAAATGAGACATTTGCATTGCCGGCTTGCTATTGAGATGTTGAATTTGTAAATTTTAGAATTGTTTCTGTATTCTATGATGGTAGAGATACTGTCTGGTCCCATAAGCCCAATCACACCTTAATGTCCATGGGAAAAATTGTCATTTTTCCAACACGTGGTGCAGACCATCAGTATGAATAATAATAATAATAATTCAAACGGGGTGGTATGTTAGAGATCCGTGAACTATGAGGGCTACACCTATACGTTCTTTACACAAGCTACAAGCTGGAAGGTCGCGGGTTCAAGTCCCAATGAGGTCATTGAATTTTTTTTCAATTGACCTAACCCTTCCGGCTGCTCTATGGCCCTGGGGTCGACTCAGCCTCTAACAGAAATGAGTACCAGGAATTAATTAAAACAGAATGGCTATCCAGTTGCCATAATATAGGGAAAATGTTTGGTTGTCATGCCTATTGTTTTTCAATGAAAAAGAAAATGTATGGAGCAAGACTGAGTTTGGTGATGTCAACAATGTTCATAAAGCATTGAAACGACACGAGATCTCTCGGACTCACATTATTTCAATAATGCAACTTATGTTCGTGAAATCTCGAATCAAAAGCGCCTGACGATACTACAGCATAATGAAAACGTGAAAGAAAATAGAGAAATAATGAAACGCTTGATTGATATCATCTGCAATTTAGGAAAGAGGCAACTTGCCCTCCGTGGTCATGACGAAAGCGTGGATTCTATCGACTGAGTTAATTATGTGGAATTAGTTCACTTGTTGAGGAAATATGATCATAAACTCAATGTTCACCTTGAGAACAGTATAGCATTTACAGGTTCATCAAACAGAATACAAAAGGCCCTTATTGACTAATTAAGTGACGTAAATTTTGGTGAGTTGATTGCTATCAGTTCGTTTATTAGATACCACTGCTTCCCTAACCAAAAATAGTACCGCACACACCACTGGACAGTATTGTTTACAAGTAGGCATTATTATTATTGCTAGTGGGGTGGGACTAAGTCCCTTGTACTGCTGCCACTTCCGGCCTGTTGTACCAGCTCCAGATGATAGGTGAGGGTGATTGTGGATCAACTGATGGAATGAAGATTTCCAGGGAAACCGAAGTACTAGGAGAAAACCTGCCCCAGCGCCACTTTGTCCACCACAAATCCCACTTGACAAGACTTGGGATCGAACCCGGACCGCCACGATGGGAAGCCAGCGACTAACCGCTTGAGCTATGGCGTGCAAGTAGACATAGAGATTGAGCAGTCAAAATGTACCCTGTCAAGTCTTTTGCAGTTCAGCTGCTACAAGTAATGTTTCATTGCAATCTTTGTTTAGTAAACACATTTGCCTTATATGTACTTACAATGAGAGTGTAGTCTGCTGGTCTGTGATGCCATGTAGCTTAGTAACTTCTACTTTGAAGATGGAAACAGTAGACTCCTCCAGAAATCTGCTAAATAACTACCAGACTGTATTGTGCCACATGCTAAAAACCACAGTTTTCATATTCATTACCATGAGAACCCCAAATCACATATTTGTTTTTTTTTTCTCTTGGCACTACAGCCCCAGTGGGCATAGGCCTACCTACATGAACTTCTCCGTTCACTTCCGTTTTTTCTCGATCTTACACATTCGGTAGGACTCCTTCGGTGGGTGATCAGCTCATCGCAAGGCCTCTACCTGTACACAAACACAGAAAAACGCACACACACAAACTAAACATCCATGTCCTGAGTGGAATTTAGACCCACGATCCCAGTTTCCAAGCGATTGGAGACTGTACATGCCTTAGACCGCTCAGCTACCGTGACCGTAATATTAATGATAATTAATTAGTTGGTGCCTCATCTTACAAAGTACTGTATTGTAAGATGAGGTGACTAAATAATTAACATTAATATTACACCTACATCATGAGCCTCCAATACATTTTTTATATATACACAAAATATAGAATATTCCAATTTGTCTGTGGGAACGCAACAAAATTACAAAAACCAACGACTGACTCGATGATGTAAAACATCAATCGAAGAATTGTATTCTTGTTTCATACTATAACTTTTGTTTTATATAATCTAATTCATTGTATATTTACGTCAAGTATTTTATATAAATAATAATATTGTATCCAATTTTACTAGTACTGCAGTTCAGGGGTGTATATACACGTATGTTAACCATGTATTTGCCTGATGATGGCTATTAATAGCCGAAACATGTAGCAGAGCCAAACTAGGCACTGATCTTGATATTAGTTGTGTTGTGACGGTGCACTGAGAGCTGTTACAAACTTTACAAAACAGAATCTTTACATTGTTCCTGGGGTCATCTTAAACTTGTCCTTTTGGTTGATATTTTAAAATCTTCTGCTGGAATCCTACTGGCACTGAGACTGTCCGTGTTATTCCCAATTTATTCATTACTTCATGTCTTTATTACTTACAGCGTAAAACATAGGGAATCCAATTCATCTTTGGACTGGCCAGATATAAATTTGTTTGCCCATGCCTGTCCACAGCTGGCTGAACTGTCATTTAGTCACCCAATGCTTGCAGCCGTATCTCGACAGTGGTCTCTCTTTACCATCTGGTTGTCCTTGAGGTATATATAATTACAGTTTGCAGTGTTGTCAAATATAATATTCACACAAGAAATATATGAGGGAGCATCAGTAAATAGGTAAAAATTGGTATAAGATGTAAAATGTGTGATATTGAAACCTGGAAAAACATTTATTTCCTATCTTCAACCAACACTGATACGCTTGTCCCATTGCTTTACCAGTGCATCTAAATCCACAGCACAAAAGTCTTTTGACTGTTGTCTCAGCCACTTTCGCACCCTTCTTTCAACCTCATCATCTTCAGTGCGTTTGTCACCAAGGTGGAACCACTTTATGCGACAAACACTTCCCAACATAAACAGGAAACATTTCTTTATGAGAAGATTCTAAAGGATTCTGATGATGGTGTGTAACACTCAGAATTACTGTTTTTTTTGGACTTTGTCTATTGTCTGGTATTCTAAAAACTAGAAAAAGCCATGTTTTGGAAACGCTCTGCTTCCATCCTCAGGCGAGGGGGGAGACACCTACACTGTAGGGTCCCTTAGAAAGAGCGAACAACAGTCTTTCTAAGGGACCCATCAGGGCATGGGTCTCCTCCCTCATCCGAGGATGGAAACAGATCCAGTCTCTGAAATATTGTTTTCTAGTTTTTAGAATATGGATGATGGATAAAGTCTGAAAACCCAGTAACTCTGAGGATTTCTTTATGTATATCCTTTTCAATGAGTCCTATCACCCACAAAAAACGCACAACAGAATGCTGCTCATCAGTAATATACTCCTGAAGCACAGTTGCCATTTTGACTATTGAAACCAGCCTCTGTACATGCGCATGCACATCCATTACCTAGACTGTCTTGAAGCTCAACTGTGCTGCTACCTAATGATATACACAGAAAACCTATTATGACCATTACAGGTGTTTTACTTCCATCTGTGACCTATTTACTGACTATCCTTCATAGTTTTGATCAGAAATTATTCATTTTTGATTCCTTTGTACAGTGTTGCTTATGAAGAAAATGCTGTGGGAAATATCCTGAGAGTACAATGTTGTGTAAAGCAACAATTCACAATACCTCGGTAAAGTAATGTTCTGCAAGCTCAGTGTTGGACAAAAATAAATCTCAATAAACACATACTGACAAAAGAAAAACTTGGTAACTTGATTAGAAGCAAGCCTTCAAAGTCATTACACCTTCTGGCTCTTCAGTGTGGTTGGCAAAAGGTACAGGTCTCACTGGCACAAAGTTGAAGTTGCGGCCTTGCAAAACTAAAGTTGTACATAGCCTTTTTTGCATCCTGATTGTGAAACAAGAATTGTCACTGCAGGTGGTTTCAGGAATTGGTATTCAGTTCATTTCTTGGCCAAAACTTATGTTTCATTCTGACAAGGCAAGATTCACATTAAGTGGTCATGTAAACAGCCAGAATAACATACTGGAGCACATAAAATCCTTATGCTGTTCTAGAAGTATCACTGTAGGAGTTAAGAGTGGGGGTTTGGTGTGCAGTTAGTGAGTATAGAATAATGGGCCAATGTTTTGATACAGATTTTGTTACCCTTCTTCAATCAACCATCAGATTAAGAAAAACCATACAGGCAATATACACACAGTAATACAACAGCGCACACTGTGAACAATTCTATGGATGCATTACATTAAGTTTTCCATATATGAATAATAAATCTAAGATTGTGACCTCTGTGATCACCTGATTTAAATCCCTCTGACTTTTATTTGTGGGGCATACTGAAAGAAAATGTGAACAATCTGCACTCTTTTGAGGATCTTCATGAAAATATGAAGCATGAAATTTCTGCTCTTCCCATACAGCAATTCTGATGTGTAGAAACATTCTTACAATGTGAAGGATGCTTGGAAGCAGACGGTTGGCCATCACTTCAAGACTCTTCTATAAAAGCAGTTAAGTACAGTGGAAAAGCACACCATGAATTATTATCTGCTGCAGCAGGCAAGTGCAAGAAGATTGCCATGCCAGTGGCAGGAACCAGTCCAAAGATAAACTGTATATATACCCCACACGAAAATAGTGGGTAAAATGAAAACAATGAAGTATTTACATACCAGTCATCACAATAAGATCAATAATTTTAACTCAAATGGGGCTTAATACAAAATATACAAGTTATAATTTGTAATAATAATTATTACTGAAGAACAGATGCATTATTTAATAAAAGTGTACAGTAATAATAATAATAGCAATTAAAAAACACAGTTACTCTTATCTGTTTACCTGGTAGGACACTAACCAATCTTCTTACCTGCTACAAAATTTAATACAACTTCTTCACACATACTGAGAATATTTAAATTGGCTTTATCCTCAAAACATTACACAAAGTGTAATCTTGTTTCAAAACTAAACTGTGAATTTTAATGTCCACCATTAGAGAAACTATAGTACTTGCCATCAGAAAACATAAATGTATGTTAACAGTGAGCACTAGGAGAAATTACTTCCCCTTCATACTTATATTTACATACTTTGTGATTTGACATAATACAATTGAGACTGGTAGCCTACAGCACAAAAAAAGTTTTGAAAACATAAGGAATCTATGTTTGTCCACATTCTCACCATCAGACATATGTAGTAAAACTCTGAAACACCACAGAGCCTTCACTGCAGGTGTTCTGTTCAGACTTGACAAAAGCACATCATGCCTCTAAATCGTAAACAAAAAGAACTTCACGGAAACGGAGACCTGCTTCTTTCAAAGTCTGGATGTGACTCCCATCTCCTTGAGGTGCACAATTTAGGACTCGTTTAGGGAAATTAGTTGCGATCTCGAAGGTGTCTGGAGATGCAGGGTGGCAAAATACGTAATAGAAGACAGCCTGAAATGAGATCATTTAGTAGCACTTTAACATTTTATGTAAAATATAAAACTGACTCCATTTATTCAGTATTATTGACTACATGACAGGTACTGCTTCCTGACTAATTATGTTAACCCTGCCATATTCTGATCTTGCCGATCTTATGGGCTGTTTTTGTGCTGCAGTTCATACACACTTGTACATTAAAAGATGGGACCATCATGCAAAATCATTTAAATGCATAACACTTTCTGCTTCTTATCATGGACACAGAAGCTTCTGTGACACTGAATTCCTACAAATCAGTTTGTTTATAGCACTAAGTCTGGCAGGAAGAAACTTACGTAGTAATGGTTTCTGTTTTAAGTTGTGCACTGTTGTAATCCATAACATAATTTTAATATCACAGTACAGTAAATTACAATAAAAGTCAAATTAGTTTGACTGTCCCAACACGTTTTGACATTTACAACAGAAACTAGGTCAAGGTCATTTTTATGATTGTACATAATTTTAAAAAAATGTGTTCATAGAAGTTTTACATACAAAATAACATCACCGAGCACTCTGAACTTACGGCTCACAGCTCTCGTTATATAGCTGCAGCATGGACTGCACAGAAAACACATCACATTATACCTTGTCAGTCCATTGGTGCAGTGACTGCCACCTAGCAACGAGCTACAAACATCTATCCCATTGTTGTAATGCACTCAAATGAAGGCTGTTTATAGGTCATTGCCTAGAAATGCTCTGGCCATCCACATTTATGCACACCGAGATTTGAATTTCTCCAATATTGATTTGAGCAACATCTCTATCGACCAACATCTTGAAGCCTGTGCAATTTTATTAACAAATTCCACTGATAGTGTCTATATTATATCAATTTACAGAGCTCCTAGTGGCAATTTTACTCTCTTTTTAAACAAATTGGAAACTATACTTAATTTGCTTTTTAGGAATAATATTAGAATGGTTCTCTGTGGTGATATTAATATTAATTATTTATCTGATAATGATAAAAAGAAGAAATTGGACTTGCTATTAGCTTCGTATAACTTAGTAAGTACAGTAAATTTTCCGACAAGATCCCAAAATGGCTCTGCAACTGCAATAGACAACATATTTATTGATGCGTCTCTACAGAGTAACTATGTAATATATCCCTTGCTTAATGGGCTTTCCGACCATGATGCTCAGTTAATTATTTTATCAGAGGTTAAAACGCATACTAAGAATGGCAGGGTAAAGGGGAAAAAAATGATAAGGAAAATTGAACTGGCTATGATACAGGATTTTGAATATAAACTGAGTCTTGAAACCTGGGACTCAGTTTTTGGCTCCAACGATATAAACTTAATGTATAATTCTTTTCTCAGTTCATTTCTTAGAATATTCTATTCTAGTTTTCCCCTGAAAGTGTTGAGCACCAGAACAAATAGTAACTTGTGGATTACTCCTGGTATTAGTAATTCCTGTAAGCGTAAAAGAGATCTATATTTGATATACAGGAGTAGTAACGATGAGGCCTTTAAGAGGTATTATAGACAGTATTGCAAGATATTAAAAAATGTCATAAGAGAAGCAAAAAAGAAGCATTATAGTAGACAGATATCAAAATCCAGTAACAAAATAAGAACAATCTGGAATATAACAAAGTCAGTAACTGGGAAGTTTGCCAAAGTGAATTCAGTTCAGGAATTAAAAGTTGATGGACGGATTACTAAAAATAGGCAATATATAGCAGATTTCTTAAATAGTTTTTTCATATCTGTGGCTGAGAATAACATAAACAAAAGTCTTGAAACAAACAATAAGCCATTAGATTACTTGCGGCAAGCTTTTGATCATCCCTTTCCCAGCATAAAATATCAAGCTGCAACCTCAACTGAGATAATTAAAATTATTAAATCTTTAACAACAAAGAGATCACATGGTTATGATGAAATATCAGTTGAAGTGTTAAAAATTAGTAGCCCCTTTATTATATCTCCTTTAACATATATTAGTAATAAAATGCTGTCTGCTGGCGTATTTCCTGATAGGCTAAAATATGCTGAAATTAAGCCTTGTTACAAGGGCGGTTGCGAGAATGATCCATCTAATTATAGGCCCATCTCCCTTTTAACCTCCTTCTCAAAAATATTTGAGAAGACAGTTTTGTCTAGATTAAATCAGCATATCCATGATCATAATATAACAGTCAGTGAGCAATTTGGATTTAGACGTCAATCCTCAACTGCTAAAGCCTCTTACGTGTTACTCAATGAAATACTAGAAGCATTAAATAAACAAAAAGTTGTAGGTGGAGTTTTTTGTGACTTGAAGAAGGCGTTTGATAGTGTGAATCACGAAATATTGTTGAGTAAACTACAATATTATGGGATACAAGGTAGATTTTATGATTTAATTGCATCATACTTATCAGATCGACATCAGAGAGTACTAATAACAGATATTGAAATGAGCAACACTATTAGATCAGATTGGGATATTGTCAGGCATGGAGTCCCTCAAGGGTCCATACTTGGTCCGCTTCTATTTCTTTTCTATATAAATGATCTTTCTACAATTTTTAATAGCACAGTTAAACCAGTCTTATTCGCAGATGACACTAGTTTGGTGATTAGTAGCAATAATAACTTACAATATAATAGGGATGTGAATATCTCTTTTGACTGCCTTAATGAGTGGTTCAAGTCAAACCTGCTAACCCTAAACTTCAGCAAAACTAAACATGTACAATTTGCGGCTAAGTCTTGTCCTAATACCGGAGTTATGGTTAATTATTGCAATAATGTGATCCCAAACAGTACCGAGGTGAAGTTCTTGGGTATAATTGTTGAAAGCACGTGTACTTGGAAGGCCCATATATCCCAACTCATACCTAAGTTGTGTAAGGCGTGTTATTCAATGAGGGTTATTAAACCCATCATGCCTACCGAAACATTAAAAATGATTTACTATTGTTATTTTCATTCACTTTTAACCTATGGAATTATCTTCTGGGGCAATACCTCGTTTAGTGTACAAATTTTTAGAATTCAAAAAAGAATAATTAGAATTATGAGTGGGCTAAGAGCAAGGGATTCCTGTAGACAAGCATTTAGGGATTGGGGGATTTTGCCACTCCAGTCCCAATATATATTTTCTTTATTGATATTTGTTGCAAATAATAAGGGTCTATTCCATACATCAACACAGATTCATGGCCTCAATACAAGGCGCGGTCTAGATTTATATTGCCCTCAGGCAAATTTAACAGTTCATCAGAAGTGTCCTTATTGCTACGGAATTAAACTTTTTAATCGTCTCCCATTAAAAATAAAGGAAGTAGTACATGATAATAAGGTATTTAGAGTGGCCTTAAACGCCTTTTTACATTCAAAATCCTTTTATACTTTGGATGAATATTTTGGTTGTATAAATGAGTAGTAATTTACTATGTTCATTTAATATTGCATGCATTGTTTGGATGTGCAGTTGTACATTCAAGGATATTGCACTGATACCTGCATTGTACATAGCAAGCTTATAACTTGACTGGTATGCCATGTAACATACATACCTCATTATAGTTGATGGATGTTGTGATCTTTTATGGTTTGAGATATATAAGCTACTAAGTTGAATGAATTTATTATGTAATGTGTTTTTATTACAATTTTAACTTATTTTATTTACAATTAAACATGGTATAGTGTTATGTATATTTTAGGTTGATGTATATTTTATGTTGACTAGTTCCATTGTTGGAGCATTTGTTGAAGATATTTGACTTGTTCTGTGTCCAGTGGTGTTGGCCTGTAATTGGATTTGCTTGAATGCAATAAATACTATACTATACTATACTATACTATTACCATAGTTTTCTTTTTTGCAAGGGATTATAATTTTATGGCTAGCTACTTAAGAACAGATCTGATAGAAGTTAATGGGGAAGACCTGACCTGTATAAGCTTGAGGGTGGTACTTGCTAGGAGGTCTGTATGTGTATGACACATTTAGCGTGGTTACAGCCATACCAACAGTGCATGTACAAGCAATTCTGAGGATGGTCAGTGTTTATATTGTTATAGGGCCATCTGTGTATATGCTGTAGTAGACTGAATGTGCAAGTTACTGCCCTCACTTTTCTATTCATCAATTAACTTATTAAGTGATTTATGCAAGTGGATGTGTAAATTCTTAATGTTCAGTAAAGCGGCCTCCGTAGTCTAGAGGTAATGTTCCCACCTCATGACTCGTAGTACGCGGGTTCAAATACCCGGCGGAGGTCGTTGAATTTTTAAGGGCGGAAAAATTCAGGGAACAAGTCTTCCGAGAGGGACTTTAAGCCGTGGGTCCCGTGTCGTAGCTTTACGGCACGTAAAAGAACCTCATATCTCCAAAAGAGGTCATTGAGCCAAATTAACGGACGTTTCCCGCTCAACAGCAGTCTCTAATACCTCTGGTAGATGGGGGAAGCATTACAGATACCTCTCAGCTAGTAGAGCCGGTCTCGCTGGCTGGGCGGGACTGATGGTAAGCACCAGTACCGGTAGGATATAGAGACTGGTAGAAATCATAGAGGGAAGCATAATGGACCAATACAGGTCTCAGTGCATGGGGAAACCCACCCTCTCCAATAACTAACTAACTAACTAATGTTCAGTAAAACAACAATCACAGCAGCTTACCACAGTGCACACATTTACAAATTAACATGGTCAGACTGCCAGACAGCCTATATAATCAAACTGGAAGACAAATTTGAAAAAGGAGTAAGGGACATTCACAAAGCATTATGCTGTATAATGAGGATTCAAAATATGCTATGCATGTACTTAAAGAAGAAACACTCATGATCTGAAAGAAACTGTCACAAAAGATGACTACACAACTAGAGGATAAATCATTGATATTAAAGAGAATTCATACATACACTCGTATAAATCACTCAATGTGCTAATCGACAAGAGATATGTGAGGATGGTAATTGCCTATTTGATGTACTACAGAAATATACAATTGGG